TCCTATTTTTTCATTTGATATTTGATCCTATTGCTTGTCATCCTTTCTCGCGCAGTGACCCTTAGGCCCTCGCATTTGCCTCCCTCCGGTTCTCTCAACACTGTCTTCATCATTATACGAGCAGAGCACGCTGCTACTGCAGCTTCTGAGAGGAAGGGGAAGACTTAAAGTGGTCTGCACAGCTGTGAGTAATCCAAACGATCTGATTATCGTAATTAGGCCCTTTGAAGACAGCAATTATGACGGCTGGACACAACACAATCCTCCAGCGCGTCAAGAGTGTGGCTGGGACCGTCTCTGAACGCTTCTCCACCACTGACGTGTGATGACATTATCGAAACTGCAAGCCCTCCAGCCATGATGGTCGCTGACTTCAAAGAAATCCTTCTCGGAAAAAATCTTTAATTCTCTCCCAACACGCATATGCCAGTCGTGATCACCAGAGACAAAATACAAATTTCACGGGTAAGGTTCAGTTTCCGAAGAGAAACAAACTTAGAAAAAACCGCATTCTTTGGATAATCGAAGGTATGTAAGTGGCGCGGAGCTAAAGCCGGAGCATAGAAAGAAATGCGCCTGAGGGTGGCATCGTATCAGACGACGCAGTGAACGAATCAGATTAAAGCGAGCGATTTTGGAGAGTGGCAGGCAAATTGATCGGTAGAATAGGATGTAGCAGAAGTGTGAGATGTGAACGCAATGAGTCAAAAAGCCAGAAAGAGTTTCCAGTGATGGCACTCCCAGAACCAAAGGAAGTATTCCCGTTGCAAGCATTTGCAAGAGATTTCCGGTGATACTGAACGCGTCGCAACCCTTTCGGTTCTTCGGATTTTTTACCAGATTAAACGCATTTTTTTTTGTTCTCTCCGTTTTCATCGTGAACGATCTGTCCCAAGCCAATGATGATGGGTGAGATAGAATTACAATTTCTCCGAGCAGGATTCCTTCAAGGGTAGTGCCATTATGATAGTTGGAAGGGTAGCCATAGGTGAGCCCCTTCAAACACTTCACTGACGAGCCCCCTTTCCACTTTTCGGTCGTTATGGAACGGACCGTCGATTTTGTGGCCCACCGGCTCCCAAATATCGCAGATTAGCTCTTTTCTAAATGAAAAAACATGAATGTCACTAAATAATTTCTGCAATTTCCAATCGTAAGATTAATCTAAACCTATAACAGTAAGGATTCGATCAGGGAATAAATCAGTGTGCGAAAAGAGAGCATGTTATTCGCTTCCCCCCCTGAAGGAAATAAAAGCATTTTACACTCGATACGCAGTTTGCGCACCTATCTCTCCATTCCTTGGCCTGGCTAAGCAGATTATCAGTTGCCAGTCATAAGCGCGGCCAACGGCGTGACTGTGTGAGCCCTGTAATGCCTTAGGAACCAAAATACTTTCGCCTCACGACTCACAATGCACATAAGCAATCAAAAATTGCCGTCCGCTCATATTAGAGTCTTTTGATCAATTTTGCCTTACTATACTGTAATCAAGCAGTCACAGTTTCCAATCAGGATCCCACTAAGCCAACCTCTATCATAAATGTTTCTCATAACTGAATTTCGTGTGCCCTATTTAGCTTCCACAATACATAAAGTTCTCTGGACTGCAACGATGGTAGGTGCCATCTTCCTATCAACTCTATGTCAGATTTCTGACTTTCCAGCCGTCGTCAGCGACCTGCTCATTTCAGTTCCGAATTCCGTAATGGGCAAACACTGAGATCAATCGGCCTTCATCTATTCTTAGAAACTGCACTGCTTCCGAATTGGATATCGCAGACCTGTTCAATAAGTAATACAACTTATAACACAAGACTTATTAAGAAAGCACTGACGTTGTCCTAGTCATGTTTTGGCTCCTGTGTCTTCTAATTCTCCGCAACTAAATTACTTATTGATCATCGACTGTTAATGTTGTAGCATTATGGCCGCATAATACGCCGTATAGCAATTTATTATAGCAAATTGATTCCAACTGAATCTTCATTGCTGCCAATTTGTGTGCTCATAACTCCTCTGACTCGATATAAATACTCCTCTTGACTCTTAATTTTTCAATCCCTCACAATTTCTTGACTTCCATTCCGCATATATCGATATCGTACGCTGTGCATTTCCGAGACTTATCGCTCACTTTCTACTTTTCGTTCCTTTTTCTATTTTTCACGTCATATTTGTCTATTTCTTTCAAACTGATGACGCAAACGCTTTTTGTAGATTCAATGCATAGACAGCGACAAGGGTTCAATCGTACATATATGTAACATTGTATGTCACGGCGATGTAACTCAGTACACATTGTCTGCTAATCGTTTATTGAGAAAAAGTTTAGTTTGAATCGAAGGAAGGGATCACGCTGGGTTCCACGTGAATCTGCTCCCTCGCGTTGTCGACCAATAGGCCGATGTCATAGTTTGCGGATCGAGCGTTGCGCCAGCGAATCGCACATTGCACCAGCGAATGGACCGAATGTACCAGCGATTCGAACGATGTGCCAGCGACTCAATAGTGGAGGGACCCAACGTTCAAAGGAAGCCCGCCACTTTCAAACAGTGACCACCAGAGTTAACCGCGCGTTGCGCAGTTCTCAACGGCCACATTGCGCAGTTTTGCCCGATTAGGCACGTTTTCTCGCGCGAACATTCACACTCGCATGCTCGAGTCGTCTGTGCTCTCCGCCCATACAGCGTGCGTTGAGGATCTCTCAACGTGCCGTTGAGAACTGCGCAACGCACGGTTGACTCTGATGACCACTGTCAAGTCCCGCCACTTTCAAAAAGGGTCCACTGTCACGTGACACTGTTTGAAAGTGGCGAGCTTCTTTTGAACGTTGGGTCCCGCCACCATTGAGTCGCTGGTACATCGTTCGAGTCGCTGGCATCGATCGATTCGCTGGTGCACCGGGCGATTCGCTAGCGAATCACTCGATTCGCAAACTATGACATCGGCTATAGGGTCTGAGATAGATAATTGTTAAACGAGCGTAGTCTCATGAAAGATACGATACGATAAGATGAGAAGATACGGTTTTGGGAGGTGCACTTCAGAATGAAAATCGAAGGTAACGATAATGGTCACATAACTAGCATGCTGCCACTGCAACCTCCTCCACATCGATACGGATTTGTTTTTGCTACCCGGAAGTGGATTTCGGCACCTTATCACGCCGATGATAAGGCGCCACTGCCACTGAACACTACCTGCTGTCTCATTTTGCGGGGCCCCTAACCAGTTCAGTACGTAAGATTCCTCAGCCTACATTGACTGCAAATTTGCAGGGCAGGGAGATCCCCTCGAGCTGCGTGAATCATTTTAACTCTGCTTTCACATCAACGCTGAAACCTCCTCCTCGCAACAAGTGTTACTGCAGGCGGTAGCAATACTTGCTTCACATGCTTCTTCCGTATCCGTGATTTGTTGTGATTTGATTGATATGACGGTTTCAGTGCATAGTAGAAGGAATAGTGCTTCATTGAAGAGGTTTCAGGTATGATAGCCACGGCGCTCATCGTCCTAGCCCTAGCGCCGTCATGTGTAGCAATTTTAGCCGTTCAGGTGTGTTTAGAAGACCTTCGCTCAACCGTTTTTTTATTCGGTCTTTGAAAGAAAATGGCGCTAGTTCAAAATTTTTTACGAAGGTTGTCGTTGAATACGAAATCAGTAAATAATAATATACTATACCGTTCGATATCAAAATCTATTCTTGGTTTGAACTAAATGGTCTCCCTGTCAACAGTGAAATGGAACTAACATCAATCACATCACACGACTAAAGGAAAGTAATCGGTCATGACCGAAGCCAAAGAAGGTTTTTACTGTAAATTCTGTCCAACGTGATATAGTCGTTAAAAAAAACCTGCGAAGTTGGAGAAATAAAAACATTGCGCAGAGATATAATTCTTTACGGAATACGCTGGGATACATGTCATCCCCTTTGAGAGGCTCACCAAACGCATTCTATTTCCATCCAAAGAGTAAAAGAACAAAGTGCAGCGTTCTTAGCAGTAACATCACGCAAACTTATTTTAAGCTGGCAACTCAGATCTCCCGCAAATATTGTAATCAGAAAGCGATGGGGGGCGGACACACCGCCTCTCCCCACAACTATAGTACAAAAAACGTTGTATCTCACCAACACACCGAATTCACCTTACAACTTATGCAAAAACGCAGACCTGCGTGCAGGTATCTGCGTCTCGCTTTCTCTTTGCTAACGCTCCCTTTCTTTTTACCGTACTCCTCCGTTATGGATTGTACACGAAGGAGACTTACAAGATCCTTTAAACTTCCATGGAACATTATTGAAGGGGCGCGGAGACTAAGGTACCGTCATCAACCCGCGACATGGAATCCTGTTCGCCACATTGCATAATAAGAAACTATACTGCACACAATTTAATATGAACCCATGTTAAGAACGTTCATCTCGTGAACGCTAACTGGGCATAAGTCGAGCGTCGCCATCCACGCTAGTGGCTACGCAGTTCTGAGGGTTTTCTATGAATAGTACGAAGTTCGCGTCTCGCACTGCGCAATCACCAATAAATCAAACGCACAGCCCCTCCAGGACCACAGAATTTCATTCATAGACAAGACAACAGAAGTATCGCTCAGCAAATAACTAAACTGGGAAACTATCTATATAAATGACGTCGTGAGTGACACTGGATGCGCGTCGCTATGCGATTTTAGTAGGGTAAAAAGCACAAGAGAGCGACACATAGAAAGCGCAGGAATAATCGAAGAATGTGTCGTAACTACACTACCCTCGTGTATATCAATGACTTAAGGCCAAATCGCTGATCACCACAATTTTAAGACCATCAATTACAAAATGATACTTCGTTTGCGACAACATTTCCTAAAATAACTATAACTAAATACGAGAAATAATTAGTAAATGAAACTAACTATTAAGTTGTCCCCATTCCGTCCCAAAATCCAAACAGTTTGTGCAAGTGCTTAGCAACACTGTGTAGTCCTATTCGACATAAAAATTTGAGAACTGATAATGCCATTATAGGAATCCTTCACCGCATTTGAGCAATCGTTTCTTAAGGCAAAGTTAGGCTCAGTAGCCGCACCTAAAAGACTCGTCCATGCTAAGTGTTCGGGCACCGCGCATGTCAAGGTAACACCCTTCTAACATTGTAAATGCTCCACTGAGGACTCTAGTTCCATGGATTTTAACAGACTCCACCAACTTAACATGGTCCCGCCCACCATTCGATATTTATCTGGTCGCTGTGTTATCTCTCTTCCGATGCACTCCAGCATAGAGTAAAATGCTTAAAACTTTCCTGTAACACTTCAGATTTCTTTTCTTTTTTCTCCATTGCGGTCCATCTCCCATCCCTACTTTCACATTGAGTGAATCCACACCGTCATTTTAATCCTGAATCTTGCCTTTAAACTGCAACTGCAAGAGTGTGTACATCAACCCTCCAAAAGTGACGGAGCCATTAAAAGCGTTCATTCTTGCTGAGTCGGTGGACACTCTTTCAGCCTATTAGGGCACATCCCATTATGAGCTTGAGTAGATCATCTCTTTGGTGAGTAGTACATAATTGTTTACCAAAGTCACAGATATCTCTTTCTCCCAACCAGGAAGCGCCTGCTCCTATGGCTTTCCAAAGGCTGCTCCAACCGCTTCCATTTTTCTTAACCCGAAACATGTGGGTGTCTGCGCCCTCTCATGTCGGAACGCACTTCTCCTTTTTCTTCACTGCTGATCCACAGCTGCCTTTATTTCCTTGTTGGAAAATCACGAAAATTTGGCCGGGGAATATGCCTTGAGCGCCTCAAGGACCAATTATGGTCAAGCTTGCGATGCTCGTGAAAATGAGGCAAGATGAATAGTATGTGCTGTAAAGCTTCACCGTTAGTTGGGGAAATTCCAACGAAGAGAATCCTATCAACGGTCGAGGAGAAACTTAGACTTGACCGCATAGGCGCTGTAATTTGGGAGATGTCATAATGTTGTAGAAGGAAAGTAGAGGATTTTTCACCTGAAATTCAGGGATGCTCTGAAAATAGCCGCCAGAGGGGGGGATCGTGTTGATTTCAAGGCCCTCAAACGCTGCGGTCGAACCTGTGCGCAACTGTGCAATTTGAGGGTGCAATATGCACGAAATCAGTATGCTATAGTACAGTCTATCGAAATCCTAACCTCTGTGACCAATGCTTCCTGATACAAGTATATTCGCCTTGTTGTAGTGTTGCAGAATGCAACGGTGATGCCAGTGCCAGCCGCCTACAATGATCTCTCAGCAAGTGCTGATCTTCGGGATCATATTGGTTGGGTATGGTACCAGACTCTGGTGATCATTTCTGACCGCGACAGGGGTCAGCGTATAGCGCTTCGCTTTGGCAGCGTCAACTACTACGCCAAAGTGGTTGGTTCGATTCACTAGGACTGTTGGGTTTAAATAAGAAAGAACGCTCCATGACATTTTTCAGTTCTTCAACTCACAAGAGGTCGGATCTCATGTAGGTGGACATCTGCCATTCCAATTTGATGTCACAAGGCTGGTCAAGTTTGGAGCTGTGAATAAGGTAGGCGTTCAGGGTTCTCAACAAAAACCGGTTGAATGGCCATTTTCCCTAGCTGGAGAAGGTCAAGAAGTTCTAACCTACAAACTCATTGTTGAGATCATCAGCGCTCAATCTTTATTCGAAGAAATGTTTTGTGAAGGTCAGGCAATGTGAAACTTCGGAACGCTTATTTCAAGAAAAATAAGGCTTTACCGAAACAATAAGCAGCTTTCACGCTACAGCGTTTGGCCCTTCCTAGAAGGCGGAAAAAGCTGGTATTACTTTTGAGCACATCTTTACTTTATCTCATGTTTCAGTACTTACATCTGATCAACTGAGACATGTTAAATTAGGTACCGGATATCTTAGTGTCGTTTTTTCACCACGAGTTTCGGACCACCAATATTTTAATTCAGAATCCGGGGAGTGAAACAGCCTATTCATCGAATGACTTATTAGCACTTTCCCATTTACCAGTATGAGTGAAAGCCTCGTACGATTAAAGATAGGAATTTTTTGAGTCGATCCAAAAAATGCAATGTTGGTTTGGTGGGCGGAAGTTGTAGCTCTCAGCAAGAACTTTGAAGCATTTGTTACACACATGTGAATTTGCACACTGGACCCACAATTTTCAGAAAAAAAGTGTAAAAAGTGGGGAAAGTTGAATTGTGAACCAACAATAGAAAACAATACATAAAATATTTCGCAGTATTAATGAGCAAAAAGGACTTACTGAGATATTGGTTTTCCATAGTAATCGGCCCCAAAACTTTCTGAACTCAGAAAAGCGACACTAAGATATCCGGTACCTAATAGTATTGTTTGTAGATCACTGTTGCTGTAAACAACACTCTCTCATGGTCGACAATTCCACAAGGCGATTTCAATTACATGAAGGATACTACACGATTCATTGACGGCAAAAATGTGGGTCTTCAACGGCTTCCGATTTCCGAATGCCGATCTCATTTCAGAGCATTTTTCTTTCACGCCTTTTCCGAGCAGTGCTTTCAAAAATGATGCACTATTAGCGTCGGTCAGGCCTCATGCCACTGATGCTAACTGAGCTTACTATTTTTTTCTTCCCTCCACACCAATTTGGAAAGATTTCAATTGGATTGGAAAGGGATCAATGAATTTGTTCTCTTTGAATTCACGAGAAAAAGTAGCTAAAATTCATGGGCACGTCAAAACCCCATCCCATGTTATGTATAGATGATCATACAATACATAATAATTTTCGACTGTTTAGATTTCTCGAACACCCAACGGTGCCTTCAAAAATGTTGGTAATTTTGATTTCTTCAACTACGCTGGAATTCTGCGATCCGTCTATTTGGTGAAACTTCCGCCAAGTCATATCGTTGACGTGTGGATTATCGCCGAACACCTAGGTGCGGTCCGAGCTCACCATTTTCAGTCACTCTTTTATGAGATAGTCCGCTTAACCCATTCGCAACCGCGCGGGATTTTCGCTCTGCTCGTTCGGACCAGCGCCGGCAGAGGCGATTGCGAAATGTCAGCCACCACTGGCTGACATTGTCCCAGGGGAAATCCATCTTGTTTTTTTCATTCTTTCTATAGATCATCCGTAGTCCACGCTGAAACTTACCCTGTGAAGGTTATCAAGGGTCCTGATCACGATTATGGGATCCATTTCTGGCGCTAGCGCCATCTGGCGCCATTTGGCGAGAGATGGCGTCAATTTGGCGCCAGCGCCGAAAATGGATCTTATTCTCGTGGTTGGCACCCTCGATAATTCCCATGAGAGATGTTTCAGAGGAAAAAAATTCCAACATTTTCAGAGAATTTTTGAAGTCAGGAGATTTTTTCTTCAATAAAATTCTAGTGGATGGATATTTCCTCTGCCCGAGGCTGGCCTAGATAGATGAGGGTGCAAAGATTATTCACAGTGAAGAAAATTTTTCGAAGATCTCCTACTGTTTTCAAAAATTCCATTTGAAGCCCGTCAGCCAACGGTGGCTGACATGGTTCCAAGTGAGCATCTTCGTGTCGGCCACCGGTGGCTGACATTGTCGCGAATGGGTTTTAATGGGTCGCGTTGTGATTGACGTATGAACTTATAATATTTACACCTTTCAAGTAGCAGTCCAAGATCTATGATAGTATATATCAGTATCTGACGGTTATCTCACTTCAGTATGCATGAAAGGTTTACTGAAAAAAATTGAACACTCAAAAATAAGTCCAAAGTTCCTTGAATTTCGCTACAATTCGGTGTGTGACATCTTTGTCAGGACATAAAGCTGCCGGAACTATTGTGATCGCTACCCTTACGGGAGTCCGCGGTGTATGGGAAGAACTCCGTTGGTCTAGGCTCGGGTGATCGATTCGAATTATTTTTACCTCTGGATGACAATCCATTCGAGCTTTGATTTTTCAGATACCTTATTTTTAATATTCAGGATCATTTTCTTATGAAGTCACACTGAGTCAAAATCGTTCCGATGAAGACGTCATTGTGCGAATGTTGGATCCTGATGGAGTCGTGGTAAGTCAACCGACCGAATATTCACCAAGGGTTTTTGATCGTTTCCAACGAAATTCATATAGGTGTACTCGGCCCGTGGTCTTGAACAGAAAGGCTCACTGTCAACAGTGAGACCATGGTGGCCTCGAGGAATGGGTGAACCGAATCTCTATACATTGGAGGTGAGCACATTCTATCAAAAATTGCCCAGCGTTGATCAGGCCCCTATTGGTCAGGATGAGCTGTGTTAGATTACATTCTGTATGAGTAGCAGTAGTACAACGCCTGATAAAATGCGTACTTATACTTGAGGCGCAATTATGATATGCCATCATCGGAAACTGTCTCTTTCCTGCCCTTTCTGCCTTAGATGCGGCTGGGAAATATGCGGCTAGAGTCCGATAGGCGGAGCGGCGCCCAAGACACGCTGGTGGATGATGTTAGACAGAACTGCTAAGTCATTGGGCCTTTCTTTTCGCTGCAAAATGCATATCCTGACACACTTTTGGGCCTGCTTCCCTGTCTAGCGGTATCTTTCCCTCCGTCGACTTTCAAGTTTCTGATGGAACCTTCCTTTAGTTTCCAGCATTTTCGACGGGATTCTTTTCCTTTTTTTCTTCAATGGCCATCTTAGCGTTCTCCATTTTCGCGTGTGCAAAAATCCACAATAGTGATCCTGGAGCGTCTGTATTCCTTCTACGAATTCGTTCAGGCATCAGGCACAGTGAGAAGAAAGGGTGTGACGCTACATGACAAAAGTATATGTCCGCCGCTTACCATGACTAATTCCGCAGCAATTAGATCCCTGCTGGCGCTGTGCTCATCCGTCTGCCACTATGACATATCGTGGAAAAACTGACCTTAAAATTAATCATGCGTTCTTTTCAAGAAAGCTAAAAGCGATCAGACAAGCAAAGAAATGTTTTCCTCGGTGTCCAAATTGGAATAGCATGCGGGCAAGTATGCTTCGAAAGAGAGCACACGTCAACAGGGAAAGCGACGCGCGTCTGAACCTTTGGCGGCGCTGCCGCGGATTTTATGCGCGCGCAGCGGCTTCAACATGGGAGAATTGGCTTGAGCGTGGATGGGCAATTCACCCCAGCGAAAAAATTCATACAGTTTCCTTCCTCTGAATTTTTGCCGTAATGGGTTTAAATTACAGAGCACTTTACTTTCATTAGCTAGAGTTTCAAGAAAAGAGTACATAGGGAGAGAGGACGCAAGATGGGAGAGCAGCCTCGGACGTATTACCCGTTTCCAGAGACTTAGCCCTTAGATGCACTAGGAATGTGTCCAACCTCCCACCCCCCCGTGGTGATTGAGTGCTAGATTTAGTCACTTACCGATGTTTTCACATACCACTTCAGTTACGGTAGACTAAAATTCGCTATAAAAAATAGGTAGGAACTGGTGGTGCACGGGAACAGATTCGCTTGGATGTTTATCGCCAGAAGGTTCGGTTTCGTACGGTCCGGCTGGCAGCCAATCACAGTTCATCATCAACGCACGAAAACCATTCTGGTGGCCTTGCGTTTCGGCATGCACGAGGACTTGAAGGTTGGCAGTGCCTGAACTACAGTATCTCATACAGATTATATCTCACGCTTTCACAGATTCATGGCGCTGGCTATAACCCGGGTAGTGATGACTAAGGACTCTCAACTGCTGGAAATGGATGGGCGGAACTGTATACCGTTACCACGCACTATCCGGTTATGCTGAGGAACGACGTATGGCTGAAAGTGGAGTCGACGGGGATTGCGGTGGTCGTCGAGACACCGGCCGTAGGGCTCAGAGTACTGCTTATGATTACTGTAAATTGTGCTGATTCGTAAGGGAATCAGCTATTTCAGAGGATTCTCAAAAGACAATAATCTCCTCCACTTAAAAATGCTCGAGGAACTCATTGAACGTGACAAATGTCATCCATCTGCGATTATGTGGAGTTTGGCAAATGAACCAAAAACCGATCGAAAGGAGTCCAGAGTGTATTTCAAGTAAGTTTGTGAGGATATTTTGCGTACTGTGGCAGGTCTAATTCTCACCCACATAGACCTCAGGGTATGCTCCGATCCCATAAGATTTCGAAAGAATGGCAACATGCAGTAGCTGGAACGGCCTAGAAAAAACCCACATAACGTGCAGTCTTTGCCACTTTTTTGCCTCGGGAGACAGAGTAAGTCTAGGGGAACCCTGCGAATCACGCTTCAACTGTTGTAATTCTCATCCGCGATTTCATCGGCACTTCTTCCCAATGTTCTGCTTCCTCCCGCCTACCCTCCTCCCTTCCCTCCTCCCCTGACCCTACTCTTGCTCATTAAACAATCCAAACATGATCTACCTCCGCTCCCCTAAGGAAAGGATGACAAATCTTGGAATCTAGAATCTCATATTTCCCTTGAAATTATTCTAGTTCACAAAAAATCAAAGGCTTGTTGCAAGAGGTCACCACGCGTGCGCATTTTTTGTTTGTCACCTTCGCGACGCGACAATTGATTTGAAGGCCTGCGCGAGAAATATGGAGTGAAACGCAAGCGCAGAGTATGCACCCACTTGCGAAGCGACTCAACAAGGCTGATGTGCTAAGACCCAAGGTCACCGTATGTTCCAGCAGCGTACACACCGCCTCAAATCCGTGCTATTTCCTGGAGACCGGGAAAAAAGTGGATAAGGGTTCGCGAAGAAAAAGTGTTCAACTGCTACTACTGGGTTGGGCGTGTGGCGAAGTGGGCGTTAGTTCGCCACGAAACTTCATAATTCTGCTAAGAGACAGTCCGGATACCGGGAAAAAGTGGGTCCAAGTAGGCGTATGGAATAACGTTAACCGCTATTGGAGGGCCGAGCCTAAGTCCAAAGTCGCAATATTGTTTAGAGATAGCGCGGTGACCGAATCCGATTCAATCATGCTCAGAAGGGCAAGCCAAATATTCGTGGTGTACAGAGCTGACCTGGAGAATTTTCGCCGCACCGTTCCATATCGCCGCAAAACTGCGTTATTGCGCAACAGCGTGCAGCGCCAACTGGTTACCACATAGCCAAAGAACAGCGCCAAGAGCAACCATTCCGCTGAATCTGAAAAACATTTAATTCCATGCTTTCAGAAGCCTCGTCGACTACGCCCACGCTCTAGACAAAACTCGTCCGGTGACTATTGTCTACGGACCGACCGGATTTGACAACGATCAGACGGTACGTTTTTTGAACGGTAACTAGTTCAAAGTTCAGGAACAGACCAAGAACGACTCCTCATCAACGATGATACAATAGTACTCGCTTCTGTTCAAGCTTCCGAGATCAGTACAAACTTTATTCGGCTCACCTTTCAGCGCACTTGCATTCTTAGGAGCCTTGCAATGTCCAAATTTTTATAACGAATAAAATGAGCATTAGACACTTGAAATCTGTCACAATTAAAATTTTGGATGCGATAGATACATAGGTATGCAAGTCTTGCTTATGATAATATGTAAAGGCTAAACTGTATTTGATTGATTATTTCCAAAGTTGTATGATTGATCCCTCAGAAATGGAAGCCTTGCCCTTAAAGGAGCCTGTGCATCCACGAATTTCTTTCACTGAGGGTCTTTTCTTACTGAAAGATCTCTAGCCGGTTGGTGGCAAGCAGGGTCAACCCTGCGTTGCGCAGTTCTCAACGGCCACGTTGCGCAATTTCGCCCGATTAGACACGTTCTCTCGCGCGAACATTCACCTCCGCTGTCGAGCCCGCTCGTCTCCGCCCATACAGCGTGCGTTGAGGATCTCTCAACGTGCCGTTGCGAAATGCGCAACGCAGGGTTGACTCTGGCGGCAAGGCTACGCGGCGCGACCCCAGGTGGCGGATAGGGGTAAATCGCGGACCAAACGTTACTGTGTACTTGCCCTGAGACGCAGGTCGATTTGGGTGATGGACTCCCGGTTTCTGCAGTGCTGTGTTGATTCGTACCAGCTGTCTCCACTCAGGCGTATCCATGCATGCTTGCGTGTGTGGTGCGGTTGTGTGTGTTCGGTTGGTATCCTGCATGTCGGTACAGCCAAAAGCTTGCATTCAAGTGACTGGGAAGTACATGGGGAGAGCGATTCGGGGCCGTCTCCAGGATTATGGCTGGGCCTCTTTCTCTTGAACCTGAGAGACCTCCCAAGCTCCCGTTGTATAGGACCGCTTGGGATAGGCTCCTAGAGTCTTAGGGCTCAGACAGGTTGCCTAAACGACGGACGACTGAATGGCGACCTGTACTTTCAACTCAAGGACGCTTGCATCCGAAGCTCACATCGAAGAACTGATGATGCAGGCCAGGAAGATCAAGTACGACGTCATCGGACTGACCAAAACGAGAAGGCACCGTCACTACACGCTGTTTTGGACACTGGAGAAGAACTGTTCTCAGAAAATCCGACAGCAGAGGCGTTGGCGGTGTGGGTATCCTCGTTAACACGCACTTGGCCATAAACATCGTTTCGTACGAAAGCCTAACGACCCGAATCGGACGTTTGAGATTGAAAAGATGTGGTTCAGCTCCTGCCTTGACAAACTTCGTCGCCTACGCACCAACATCCAGCTACGACAAGGAGGAACACGAAGCATTCTATATGGAATTGGAGAAGTTCTACAGGGAAGATCATACCATCTTCAAGGTCGTAGTCGGCGACTTCAACGCCAGGACTGGCTCAAGAAGAACGGATGAGAACTGTGTCTGTCTGAGTTTATCATGTCGGCCAACACCATCCATGGTAACTAATAGTTCCGGAAGCCCTCTCACCCTCGTTGCACTTGGACAGTTTCATGATGATGGACAGTTCCATAACGAGATAGACCACATCATCTTCAGTCGAACGTTTTGCCTGACCGAAGCTATTGTTCCGAAGTTCTACGCAGGGTCGGACCATCGCCTCCTCCGCGCAAATTTCCTCTTTTCGATGCGTGTTGAGAGAGCCTCAAAGTTCAGAAAGCAACGCCCCAGGACAGTCATCAACTGGGATCACTTCACCTCTCTTGTCGCTTCATGGGAGGACTCCGTTATGGGAAACATCGACGAGCAATATCATCAGCTCGTTGAACACCTCAACGAGAGTGGCAGGAAGGCAGAGAGATTGAAAGTCACCAAGGGACGTCTGTCTACGGAAACTCTCGAGCTGATCGCCACGGTGGAGTCTCACGAGCTGCAGGTATTCACCAACTCACGTCCGAGCTTGCGAAGCTAGGCAGAGAGGCGATAAAGGAAGATCACAAGGAGCGAACAGCGAGCGAGAGCAGTATTAGCTGAAGCAGAAGAGGATGGGAGGAGCGTCCGCAATGCGCGCTAAAATTTTGCCAGCTACAAGACCATAATGACCTGCCTCCGACGTCCGGATGGGAGCCATGTCCATCTGCCTACTTATCAAAGAGATGGGATATCGTCGTCCCTCAGTTCTCTCTTCCGAACTCCGACATTCCATAAAGTTCGGCGAAGAACTGCAGCAGCCAGGTCTCGACAGGCATCTGGAGAATGCGCCGCCAGTTATCATTAAAACTCTGGCTCGACCCTTAATGCGTTACCTGTTGGGATGCAAAGTGCCCACTCCGTGGAAAAGCAGCAGAACTGCGCTGCTGTACAAGAAAGAGGCTTGGAAACATTGGCAATTATCACCTGATCTGCCTGCTGTCTGTAATCTATAAACTATTTACTCGAGTCAGAGAGCCGTCAACAGGATTGGCAGAGATGAAGGACAGCCGTGCGAGCAAGCAGGGCTTCGAAGAGGGTTCAGCACGATCGATCATATCCACACGGTTACAATGCCCGTTAAAGTTTCACGAGAGTGCAAGATGCCGCTTTGTCTCACGCTTATCGATACGAAGAAAGCCTTCCACTCTGTGGTGACAAAGGCGCCTTTAGGCCTTGGGCAACCAGGACGTCCCTACTCAGAACATAAGGATTCTTTGTGAGCTCTACAGCACCTTTACGACCAGAATCTCACCCTTCCACAAAGAGTCTAACATCGACCTCAAGAGAGAGGTTCGACAGGGTGACGCCATCTCGCCCAAAGTCTTCAACGCCGCTCTCGAGAACGTCATGCGTTGCCTGGAATGAGAAGACATAGGAGTGAAGATCGACAGCCGGCAACTACACCACCTTCGGTTCGTTGACGATATCGTTCTAATGATGCCGAACATCGAGCAAGCGGAGTGAATGCTGGCTGATTTCGACTGCGCTTGTGGTAAGTCAGTCTACAGCTGAACCTAACGAAGACGAACTCCAGCTACGTGTACCTAGGTCTGGAAATCAACATGATGAACGATCTGGCTCCAGGACTAAGCAGGAGGAAACGAGCGGCGTGGAAGCGCTTAAAAACATCGAGGAGTGGTCTGCAGTCCATCCCGCCTTGACCTACGCCTCAGAGGCTTGGACTCTGCCCACACTGGACGAGTATGCGGTCAACGTTATCATGTGGAGAGGACGTTGCTTGGAATAACCCCACACATGCAAGTGCAGAGGGGAATCCGTAGCTCCGAATTACGCCAAGATAAGGGACGCTGCCGTTCTTGCCAAGAATTCGAAGATAAGTTGTGCCAGGCACGTCATGCAATTTTGTATGACCATTTAGAGTGGTTACTGACTGGATCCCTCGGGACGTTAAACGAACACCTGGACGATTGCCGGCCCTATGGTCAGCCTTCTTCACGAAAGCTGTGAACGAAAGCAATGAAGGACTTCGTGTTCCTCCAGCGAGGAGGGTCAACTGCACAACCCTTGCACGCGACAGGGACGAATGGAATCGTTGCTGGCGCCCGCTCGAGCAAATCGAAGATGAATGGGACGACAGGTGATACAGGTGGTAGGGGTAGGTTGACAAGAAGTGCTTCATCCAATTTTCAGGGGGACCTCAATCATTGGTATTTTTCTGCTTCTACATAGCGCTTCGGTGCACGAATTACTCAACATTTAGAAACGATAAGTCGGGTGAGTAAGGCAAGCACTGCAAGACTTCTCGATCAAAATCCACGATGTCTTGATGTGTAATCCTTCGCCACATGCAGATATAGGTTAGGGTGGGTAGCACCGTATCGATAATTTCTGCGGGAACGTGACGCGTGGCTTTGGCAAGTTTCAAAGGTAGTTAACACGTTGAGGGCACGCCCTTGTGCGCGCACCTACCCACCTTACTTTACAAATTTGCATCAATAGTTACTACATTACCAAGAATTTCATTAGTGGTAACGAGAGAACTATTTTTCGTATCCAACAGTAGGAAGGACCAGTTTTGAAGCATGAAAATGGAGGCGCAATTTAGGAAAAACAAGTCTCTCTCGTGTGAAAGTGCGGGACGTATGTGTCCCGCGCTGTCGTCGAAGTGTTAAAGCCGACAGTAGTGGTCGCCGTAGTGCAAGTATCCTGCAGCTTTCTGTAGAAGATCAATATGCAATCTCATAGAAGCACTTGAAAGCCCTTCTTGACGAAGGCCAGCTTTTGTTACTGCAAGCAGCTTTCCTCCTAGTCGAATACGGTAATGCTCATGTGTGTAGTTTTCTCAAGGCTAGAAATATCCTCGTTAGCCATAATTTTTGTCAAGAAGAAAAGAAATCTAAATTATGGTCACATGGTTCGCCTCCCCACTGGTGCAACTCATACGGTGTCAATGGCAAACATACTGATGCATAATTGAGATCGTGCAGATCCTCGTAACTGTGGAATGAATGCAAATAAGCGTGACTGTTAACCTACGACTGGTAACAATCAGATGCGCCTCTAGAAAGTTGAGTAAACGCTTGTTAGTCATCAACTACTGCAGTCTAGCTCCGTGCTCTCCAGTTGCGAGGCAAAAAGGCTAACGGGAATCCGTGGTCTAGTGAATGACATCCCTCCTGGCACAGACGCTAGCTGCAACGACACAAACGGAGTGGCTTTACAGAAGCTCGAAAAATAAAATGAGTAAAAAGATGGGTTGATTCTACGAGGAGCGCTTCTGCCGAAGCCTCCAAAGATACACTGCAGCAATCAAATGTCAAAATTACTGAAAAGAATTTTGATTTTCTTCCTAAAAAACTTTGTTCAAAGTGTTGCTGAATTTTCTGGACAACCCAATACATCTTTCCTAACTGGCTCTCTGAACAACAAAAATGGAGCGAAGAAAAATCACCATGGAAACCGTCGTTTTTACTGCTCCGTTTTGGGGCATATCGTCCACAATGTTGACTGATGTCATATCAGAGAGTTCCCTCTATCAGTGCAAAAAAAAAC